TGTTTATACAGATTGTGTGGTGCATTTTTACACTTAGAAAAATCCTACATTGTACAATGACTTTGCAATCCGTTATCAGTAATGAATGACTTTGTTTTCTGAAGAAATTACCACTAGTGCCTGAAGAATTTAGGGGCCCCAGATGCAGAATTTAAGTCCAGCATATCACAGAAATCCACATTGTTATCCCAAAGAAGAGTATAAGCAATCTATGGTTGGTAGGCTGAGAGTCCGTGGGATGTATTTTACTCTAATGAAACATTTCAGTGACTAGTAACCTTGGCTCAGATGTTGCTAGTGGAAAAAGGCCCCATTTTTAAGCTTTAAAAAGACAGCCGGGTGAAATATGAAAACAGTCATCCTCTTTTCTCACTGTTGTATTTACTGCTCCATTCTTCTATTTTTCAAATAATGCTGCAGCAGAATAAGGCACTTGCCAAGGACAACCATTGCCTAACACTGCAAAAAGCAAATAAAGTAAAGAATGGAGAACAGCTTTTCAGTTTGTTTCCTAGAAGTGGCACAAATCTTTAATAATGTTTCCATTGATTACGTCTTCCTGCTCAGCACTTAGGCTCATACAAATTTACTACAGTCTATGACATATGGGGATCTAGTATTGATGGCTGATTTACTATTTCTATCAATTACTTAATTTTAATGGAATTATTTATAGACTTTCCTGATGAAAGACCAAGTTATTATGATAATTACGATTGTGATGCTGGCAGACCAGGTACCAGTTTATGCCAAGGCCCAGGGCCTCACTGAACACTGACAAATGTATAGTTGGAAACCAGCCTGGTTTACCTTTGGCTTAGTAGAGTTAAAATAGATATTAATAAGAATGGAGGATTTCAACTATCCCCATATTGACTGGGTACATGTCACCTCAGGATGGGATGCAGAGATAAAGTTTCTTGACACCTTTAATGACTGCTTTTTGGAGCAGCTAGTCCTGTAATCCACAATAGGAGAGGCAATTCTTGATTTTGTCCTAAGTGGAGCATGGGATCTTATCCAAGAGGTGAATATAGCTGAATTACTTGGTAATAGTGACCTTAATATAATTAAATTTAACATCCCTGTGCAGGGAAAACACATAGCAGCCCACCATGGTAGCATTTAATTTCAGAAAGGAGGACTACACAAAAATGAGGAGGTTAGTTAAACAGAAATTAAAAGGTACAGTGACTAAAGTGAAATCCCTGCAAGCTGCATGGAAACTTTTTAAAGACATCATAATAGAGGCTCAACTTAAATGTACATCCCAAATTAAAAAAAACATAGTAAGAGAACCAAAAAAGTGCCACCATGGCTAAACAACAAAGTAAAAGAAGCAGAAAAAGGCATCCTTTAAAAAGTGCAAGTTAAATCCTAGTGAGGGAAATAGAAAGGAGCATAAACTCTGGTAAATAAATGTAAAAATATAATTAGGAAGGCCAAAAAGAATTTGAAGAACAGCTAGCTAAAGACTCAGAAAGTATTAGCAAGAATTTTTTTAAGTACATCAGAAGCAGGAAACCTGCTAAACAACTAGTGGGGCCACTGGACGATCGAGATGGTAAAGGAGCACTTGAAGATGCTAAGGCCATTGTGGAGAAACTAAATGATCCTTTGCATCAGTTTTCACAGCTGAGGATGTGAGGAAGATTCCCAAACCTGAGTCATTCTTTTAGGTGACAAATCTAAGGCACTGTCTCATTTTTAAAAAGGGCTCCAGAGGTGATTCTGGAAAATTACAGGCCAGTAAACCTGACTTCAAGAAAGAGATCTTTGAGTCACTGTGGATAGTTCTCTGAAAACATCTACTCAATGTGCAGCAGAAATCAAAAAAGCGAACAGAATGCTGGGAATCATTAAGAAAGGGATAGATAATAAGATAGAAAATACATTGCCTCTATATAAATCCATGGTAGCCCACATCTTGAATACTGCATGCAGATGTGATCACCCCATCTCAAAAAAGATATATTGGAATTGACAAGGTTCATAAAAGGGCAACAAAAATGATTAGAAGTATGGAACAGCATCCACATGAGGAGAGATTAATAAGACTGGGACTTTTCAGCTTGGAAAAGAGACGACTAAGGGGGGATATGATAGAGGTCTATAAAATCATGACTGGTGTGGAGAAAGTAAATAAAGAAGTGTTATTTACTCCTTCTCATAACACAAGGACTAGGGGTCACCAAATGAAATTAATAGGCAGTTTTTTAAAACAAACAAAAGCAAGTATTTTTTCACATAATAAACAGTAAACCTGTGGAATTCTTTGCCAGAAGGTGTTGTGAAGGCCAAGACTATAACAGGCTTCAAAAAATAATTAGATAAATTCATGGAGGATAGGTCCATCAATGGCTATTAGCCAGGATGGGCAGGGATGGTGTCTCTAGCCTCTGTTTTGCCAGAAGCTGGGAAAGGGCGACAGGGGATGGATCACTTGATGATTACCTGTTCTGTTCATTTCCTCTGAAGCACCTGGCACTGGTCACTGTCGGCAGACCGGATACTGGGCTAGTTGGACCTTTGGTCTGACACATCATGCCCGTTCTTATGTTCTTATGAGAATGTGTTTAGTCTCTATGGAATGCTTGTAGGATGCTGCATGTATTAATCCCACTTATAACAACTTTATACCATGGGATACAGAGTGTTTGTATTGTAAATCTCTAATTGTGTAACTCACCAAGCAGGAAAAGAAGCATTAATTAAAGTCAACTACTCATCCTGCACTCAAGATGGTGCATTCAAGGCAAATGAGGCATTGGGTAGCATCAAAGGACAGAGATATTGTTGGTTGCATTCCTCACTCGATGTATGAGCTCATCCCATCACCTTGGATTCTGGGGTGAAGGGAATAAAAATCCCTCACAAGGAGAAATTGGAATCTTTATGCTGTCTGGACTCTAAATGGCAAAGATTCCTGAACATAAGCAAGAGATCTCCATGCTCCTTGGCATGAGTCAGCCCTAAAGGACATATAGAGCTGCTTCTGTTAGAAGCTCGTGTTTCCTGTTTTAACTTTGCAAATAACTCATTTCCTTAGCTACTACATTTTTAGTTAGTTTATTACAGGATTGGCTATAGGAATTAGGGTGACCAGACAGCAAATGTGAAAAATTGGGACAGTGGGTGGGGGGTAATAGGAGCGTATGTAAGAAAAAGACCCAAAAATTGGGACTGTCCCTATAAAATCGGGACATCTGGTCACCCTAACAGGAATTGTCTTTAGTTTGAGATTTGAGTACAATTGACCTGGGGTACGTGACTAACGGGTCCTTTGGGACTGGGAGTCGCCTGAATAGTGTGATTTTTGGTGTAAAGTGACCATTATCACATAGTCCTGCTTGCCTGGGTGAGAAGATAGCATGGAATACCCAAAGTAACTGTCTGTGACTGAATGGTAAGACTATTATAGTGCTTTAGTGCTTTAGGAGTTCACACTTGTTACTGGGTTGGTGAAATCTAATTATAGAATGCACAACCAGTTTGGGGATTTCTGTCCTGCTTTTTAACAGTCTGCCCTGATGTTGGTGTAACCCACACCTCCTGGGTGTGGTGTTCTGTCCCATGTGGGGGGGGGAAGAGGGAGGGAGAGAGAGAGAGAGAGAGCGCGCGCTAACGAGCAGCTGGCTTTTAGCACATGAGGTAGAGGCTCATGCACTAAGCTCCAGAGGTCCCAGGTTTGATCCCGCCCAGGGGTCTGTCAGTATTACATTGGCACTAATGGTCATGAGTCACTTCACACAGCATGACCACGATAATCTAAGTCTCCAATGTTTTCTAAAACATCTAGCCTAATGGGGTTATTTGAAAATGTGTGTAATTTTAGTCTTGTTGAAACATGTTTTGACAGAATTTTGTCATCACTGTACATCAGACAATGAAGCAGGTAGCAGAAAAGAAACACTTGTACATGGGAGATGCTCTGCTCCACTTGTACAGGTGGACAGGAGACCTACCTGACTGAACTAGGGAGTGGGGGAAGCAATATGTGCCCACTGAGGCTGTACAAGCCCCAAAACAGGGATAGTGTGGTTTGGGGAATCTATGGGTTAAGAGCAGAGCATGCTGGAAATAGAAGTGGTGCTTAGGTGAGCAGCTGCTCTGTGGCATGCTTGCCTCCTAACCTGCTAGATTTCCAAACATAAACCTACTGGGTATTAATGCTAATTAAGGAAGCATTACCTCCCCATTTCTCATTTTATGTCTGCTTTGTGGAGGTGTGGGTAAGAGCATTAGCAGCAGCATGACCTCTGAGGGTGCTGGGATGTCAGGGTAGTCTCACAGCACTAGAGTGGGATTAACTTTCTGGTCAAAAACTCTGGAAATCACACCCAGTTTCGTTGCAGAGCCTAGCACTGCAGTTTCCAGTCACAGTATGAGATTGAAAACCTGTCCATTCTCCATTTCTGAAGTATAGCTCAATTTTTACAGTTAGCTTTTAAGAGCAACCACATACTTTAAATCTGAATTATTTCTAGTTTAGATGAAGGGGAATCAGCAAAAAACATGGGAGGGCTAGTGTTTTCTCTAACATGCTGCATCAATTTTGCATCACAGAATGGCAGCTTCTCCTAAAGACAGGCAAACACCTTAAAAAATTAAGCAGCAGCACAAGGGGGGAAAAGCCATAGGAATTACATTGCGGTATATGCCACAGAAATTATTAGGCTCACTGATTTAATTAGATAATTAATTAAAATATTTTTCACATTAAACTCTTATTCTATGGGAATAGGGAATACAGTAAATTAGCACTGGTTCTGTAAACCTTGGCCTATGGGGCTGCCACTCTGGTACCTTCTACAAACACAAATGGGAAAAATACTTTTACAATTAAAAGGAAAACTTGCATTATGAGAATTTTTTTGACTCATATATAAAAGCTGCAGTGCTTTATATGTGAACAGAACTAGGCAATACTGTACCTAGCAGTCAGCAAGAGAGACTCAGAATTCTCCTTTTCTTTTATTTATTTCTACATAGCAACTCACCACTGCCCCCAAGAACTCTTCTTCCAGAGGTGGCCATACTCAGCCCAGGCACTGTATAAGAAATAAAGTAAAGAAATAAAAAGGCTTAGAGGACGTGGTCAATATTTTAGCTAGAGTGAAGGAGAGAAATAAAGAAAAGCTGAGAATGAGGCATCTTACGATGCAAGTGAGTGAGTTTCTTCAAGGGGGTGGAAAGACTAACTCCTTAATTATTCCTTTTTGACTTTGGGGGACACTGTCTTCAGCTGGAGTCTTCTCTTGTAAGAATGTCAAGATTGGACCCCATATTTTGGACACTAGTATCCATTTTCAGAGAATCCAGGAGCAAGTCTGGGCAATATCAGACTAGGGATATCCAACATCTGTCTTGTTCTTGTGGATCAGAAGGGGCTTAACTATATGACACTGTAGATTAATTGGAGCCAGAGGGGAAGAACTCATCCTGTCCAAGCTGTAAAAAGTCTGAATTAGTTGGCTAATTGTGGCTGATGAGGCTGTGAATTCTGGCAGTTGAAGTATCTCACATAGGCTTATTAGTAATGGTGAGAGCTTTTTCACTGTTCAGACTGGGTTTCATCTGGAACAAACTTTTAATGTTTTGGCACATTCCCAGAAATGTCAAGTAAGGACATGGTCACAGCTGACTGCTGTGGTACTGAGAGGGCTTGTTGTTAACTCAGTGATATTGAGATTCTAAAGGTAAAAGTTGCTTCTAGCATTGAAATTCAAGTCACAGCAATGCAGGAGAAAAATACCCCCCGCCCCCCCATACTTCCCTTCATTTACAGAGAACAGATAGTGATTCAGGCTATTCCCATCGGCACCAGTCAATTTCAGCAAAAGACAGGTGGACACTTGCATTAGAAGTCACATGTAGTGTATCAAATTATTTTTATTAGTCTCACTATAGCTTCACCCACAAGTGATCACAGTACTGAACTCTGTACAATTGCTATAAAATAACAGTGCTCACCAGAACTCATCCTTTATTCTGAAATTTTCCAGATCTCTTTAGGTACTACATAGACACCTCTTTTATTTTTGTACTCAACTCTCAATTTATCTGAAATGAGTCATAAAGAATATTAATATAAGAGAAGCAGAATAAAGACACTGCTATCAGCTACATTTGTGTAAAGCCATAGTTCTCCCCATACACTAAAATCAATGCAGTTACTCTAGATAGAAATTGTCATAACTGAAGGAGGAAACTGGACCTTTATCTTTACTTTCCTTATTTGTACATTGATTTAGCAAATTTCTACTCATCTGATTGCCTGAAATTAACAAAATAGCATTAGATTCTGAATCGAAGTATGGATGGGAAAGAAGATTTTTATACCTGTTCTGTTAAATGATTGTAGTGATTTTTTTCAAGGCTGCAGTAAATGATGTTTTGAAAGTGTTTTTCTCAAGAATTGCAATTGCAGTAATGTTGTTGTTAACTATTCCAGTACAATATTAGCGGCCTTTGTAAAAGGTCTTACTCATACTGATTTTGTTTTTTAACAGAGGAAGTGTAACTAGAATCTCTGTTTGATGAAGTAGCATCTTCAGTATGTTTATTTACTGGGATACATACCCTCATGTGGCAGAACATAAGTATTACATCTACACAGAAAAATGAACCGTTGAAAATGTTGAAAAATATTTTTCATCATGACATTATGTTACATTTTTGTGGCAACACCCAACAATAACTAAAAGAGATTCCCACCTATTTGCAATGGAGTGTACTGCAACTACAGTGGTCACAGTTCTGAACTGATTGATATCTTGTGCTGTGCTGTTTACTTCAGAAAGCTTGAATAGGGTCTCATTCAGCACAAGTTTAGGCCTGGTAAGTTTAAACTTATCCCAAGACATTTGGGAATGACGATGTACTACCATCACCAGGACCAGCCAATACAACTCAACTGCATGAATTCTGTTTCTTGTGAAAGCTAACAATGTGACCCAAATAATTTCACTTATCACGTGAATCAAATATGAATCAATATGAATGGAAGAATAACTTGATATGTGATTGTTTTATACTCCTGCTAAAATTCATTTGTATATGTTTGGCTAAATAACTATTTTTTAGTATCCGAGTACACTGTAGTTTATCACCATATTTTGGAACCACTGAGTAGGTAATCACAGTGGTCTCTTCTGTCCTCATCTATAAAAACTGTTCTTCAACTCAGTATTTGTACCTGGTTCAAAGGAGTGATAGATGCCCAGCCCGAGGAGTTGACAACCTGGAATTTTAGCCAACACTCACATGTGGGTCTGAACAAGGTTACCAGAGTAAGATTATGTAGTCACTCGCTTCATAGGCACGTCTCTTTCAACATTTTGAAAAATTACGTTTGTTTGAATGTTAATTTGCCCAATTTCCATGGATTTTGTGGCAGAAGACAGTTCTTATTAAGATGGTAAATTGGGTTTGGAAGAGCCTGCCAGGAATAGAGGACAGCAGGAAAGCAAGCAAAGTGATGTTTGTGTTAGGAGTTGAAGGATTATTAAGGCTGACACCATTAGCAGTATAGGTGAATGGAGGGGCTGAGGTTTGGGGTTAGGGTGTGTGTCGAGGAGCCCAGGGTGCAGAAGTAGCTTGGGCAGCTTCTAGGACTCTGGCAGCAGTGGGGTGGGGAAGGCTGTCAAGGCAACCACTCGCATTGGCCTCGGAGACACATGACAGGCTGAGGAAGTGGCATGGTCAGTGCAGCTGTGGGGGCAAAGTGTCCCCACCCGCCTACCTGGGGCATCCAGAGCAGCTGCCTGCCTGGCTTCCTGCTCCCTGCCCTGGCTGCTGCTTTCTCGCCACTGGCAGCAGCTCCTGCCCTGGAGGTGAAATATACCCCCCTCCAACCGCAAAATGACTCAGCTCCACCTGGCTGCCTCTCCCCTGCCCAGCCCTGTTCCACCCCTGCCCTCAGGCAACCCCTCTGTGCAGTGCTGAGGGGGCTGGGCTGGAGAAGAAGTGGGAGCCAGGCTGCCCATTTAATTCACTCCCTGGGTACAGAAGAAATATTGTGGGGGTGGAAACAGAGCAACCCCCACCAGTAATTCACCGCAGCCCTTCTAGTTCCACTGCCCTGTTTAGCAGAGCTCGGAAGGTAAGGGTGAGGGGATCAACTCAATACTCTATGGTACTGTCTTGCTGTAAGGCAGGTGGCTGACAGAGCATATTATTTCTTGGCATCCCTATGCAGAGGGCCAGCAGAAAACCTATGCACTACTTATGCCTTATGTCATAACTATAAAGGGAAGGGTAACAGCTCTCCTGTGTACAGTGCCATAAAATCCCTCCTGGCCAGAGACTCCAAAATCCTTTTACCTGTAAAGGGTTAAGAAGCTCAGGTAACCTGGCTGGCATCTGACCCAAAGGACCAATAAGGGGACAAGATACTTTCAAATCTGGGGTGGGGAAGGCTTTTGTTTGTGCTCTTTGTTTTGTTGTTGTTC